TGAAATGAAAGAACTAAGATCTATCTATATCATCTGAAGAAGAATATAATAACAAATAGACGAAATCTTCAAATTCCAGGGAAAATCTGATCGGACGAATCTTATAAATTCTCAAGAACCAATATGATTTTATCCATGAATAACGATCAGATGAAATTTAGAAATCTCAAGAATTTCCGATCAATCAAAATATGGAAAAAAACGAAAATTTTCAGGATTTCGTCCGAAATCAAATCTTTAAAATCTTCAGAATATTCAGATATTCCGTCCGATTCGGAGACCTTCATAAAAGAAAAACGATTCCGAAATTTTCTGGGAATCGAAATTCTTGGGATTTCAAGATTTCGTTCGGAATAAGATCCTCGCGCAAAATCGATTATAGAAGATATCCGCATCATTTTATAGAAAAGATTCAAAATATAAAAAAATAGAAATATATATAGAAGAATAAATAATTTCAGAATAATAATTCATGAATTTGATATATATATATCATTATTATTATGAATACGATATCAATATAGATTCATATAGATTCTATCTTCATTCCAATATATTGATCTTCTTGATAATTCTAGAATGGCAAATGAATCCAGAATTTCCAGGATCTTGAGATCGCTTTATCGTGAATTCATAAATTCATAAATGCGCCCATTTCTTTATTTTATTCATTCATTTTAGGCATTTATTTCTCTTATTTCATTCTCTCTCCTCGCTTCGCTCAATTAATTAAGAAACCGAATGAGGATAATATATAAGGGAAGAGAGAGGGGAGGGAGAGAGAGGAATATGATAAGAAGAATATTTCCTAGAATAAAATCTCTAGCTGAAGGAATCATTAGATCTAAGAAATCTTATCATTAAAAGATTTAGGAGAAGATGAAGATATTCTCATAAAATCTAATATATTTGCCATTAAATTTTGCCGCCAAGCTAGAAGAATTCCCTCTAGATAATATTCTCCTTATCCTCCTATCACTTGGATTTCGTAACTCATGGTCGTGCGCTCGTAATTTGATTGACAGGGATTCATTTAATTCATTTCATTTAATTAAAATATTTCATTCCCTCTATTCATTCATTATATTCGTTTCCCTCATTTCGTTCATTCACTAAATAAGAAAGGAAGGGAATGCGAAGAAGAAATGAACGGACGATAATTAATTTCGTTCTCTCGCCCACGATCCGTAATAGAAATAGAAATATTTGATTTCTAATTTAATCTACGGCTGATTTGAGGACTGAATAAATATATTAGACCCTGAAGAAAAAAGATCCTAAGGAGTGAATTAATCGTAATAGATATATATTAGAATTGACCTAAGAATAATCAATTCTAGACTTATAATCAATTAATTTCCTCATGACCTTAGGAGCTTTCTATAATCTGGGTTTCTAGATGATTATAGGATATGAGGATATAGCTCTAGATAGAATCTCTTCAGGAATTTCTCGATAAATATAAAGAAATCTCCAAAATCAAGAATATTTCTATCTTTAGGAACTTCCACTAGCGATAATCTTTGGTCTAATGATAATATTTCCTGGAATTGGAGATCATAAGAACGAATCTGAAGGGATGAAGGGATATCGTCTCGTGATTCGCTTCTTTAATTTGAGGAAATGAGCGAAGGGAACGGAATGAACGAAATGAGCGTAATGAATTCATTAAAGGGAAGAAATGAATGTAATAAATTCATAAATTCATGAACTCATTCCCAACTAAAAAAATCATCATGAGTCTTTCTATGCAACAGGAATTCGATTAGCCTTGATCTACGGTCATCCATAATAAGATTGAATTAGCCTATTATCATCCTAGGCTTTAATCCAATATATTTCGTCCATTCGCTGAATAAATAAGAGATTACTTTCTTCATGACTATAATTCATTCATATTGCGCTTATCCCAGAACCTATCCCAGAATCAATTAGAGATAGAAGAAATGACCATAATATTCAGATTTCATAGAAATCCGTCATCATGAAAAATCTCTAAGCTCAATTAATTAGGATTGCCATTTCATTCGCTAGACTTATTTTATTAGGATTATAGGAAATATCTTCATCTTGGCGATTCCGGATTTTATTATAGCTGATAGGATCTCTAAGATTAAGAATTAATCTAGATAGCCGCCTATGATGATAGGGTTTGAGGCGTGCTGGACTCGCTTCTTCCTCGCATTCCTCTTTTAATTAAAGAAAGATATGAGAATAATGAATATATCAAATTAAAGAACGAAATAAAGAGAAATGAATTCATTTCATATGGTTATAATAGGTCCTTTATCTTCTTATTCTCATATCTTGGTCTAATCATTCATTTATATCATGAAATATATTAATTGCGTGCGATGAAAGAAAGAAATGAATGAGCGCTATCAATTTGACTAATTCATTTTCATAAATTCTCTATCGTGGTAATCTATCTATATATTTCATTCATTTAAATATCATTTTCTATAAAATAATTCTATCTAGAATTTTCTATCTAGATATCAATCGCTTCTCATTATAATATATATATCTTCAAAATTTCTTCTTTTTATTTCATTTTCATTTAATCTCAAAAATATCATATATTATCCCTAGATTTTCTTCTATCATTTCATTATATTGATTCTGCATAAATTCTATATTCAATTCATTATAATAATTCCGTCATGAATAATTTCTATTATATCTCATTCATTTCATATTTATTTTCTTAGAATGATTCTATCTCGAATTTATGATATTCATATTAGTTTCATTCCATTATATCGATTATATCTAGAATAATCTATATTCATTTCATTTTCATGAAAATCATTCCGTCTAGAATTTCTTCTATTCATTTCATCTTATTTCATTTCTAATTATATGATTCAATCTACGATTATTTCTATGCATTTCATCTTCATTTTATGATAATAATTCTAATCAGAATTTCTTCTCTTCATGTTATCTTCATTCTATCTCAATGATATCGCAATTTTTTATCTAATAACGATTGCATCTTGAATTTCTTATATTCGTCTCTTCCTCATTTGATTAAAAAAATTCTATCTAGATCCTAGAATTTCTTATTAATTTTTCTCTTTCATGAGAATGATTCCGCCTGATAATCTTTGAATTTCGTCCTCATTTCCTTATTCATTTCATTTTCCTCAAATTCCTTTTATATACAATAACGTTCTTCTCTATAGAATCGTTCAATTCTAAAATTTTCTATTTCTTTCTTTAGCAACGATATTCAGATAATATCAATATAGAGAATCTTTCATTTCAGATATAGATCGAATCTATCATATTAATATAATCCGGATCAAAAATAAATCTATTAGATAATCTCTATGATATCAAAGAAAATCAGAGAAGATTTCGTTTTCTTTTTTTACAATGAATCTGATACGGAATTCTTTCATTCGTTTCGTATTCATTTTATTAGATAGATTACGTCCTCAAATTTTTTAATTTCATTTTATATATTATATAAATATCTTCTTTTTCTCGAGAATATTTATTATATTCTCTTCATGCTATCAAATCATTGCAATGATTCTATCGAGAATCTTTCCCATTCATTTCATTAATCTTAATTTCTCATATATATTTCATTTTCATTCTATCGCAATAATAATAGATTTCCGAAATTCTCCATTTATTTCGTCATCATTTCATTTCAATTTCTAGAAATAGAATATATTATATTAGAATTGATCCGCCAATTAATTCAACGAATATATCTATTTGAGAAAATCCATAACAAGAAATTCGATGATTTCATAATATATAAGATCATATCTGAAGCCCACTATAATCCATTGAACCATCAATATTTTAAATTTATATGAAGATATATCGCAGATTCTGAAAGATTTTAGATCTTCGCCCCGGATCTTCCCATTCCATCGAACGTCCGCGCAGACCGTCAAGGCGGGTATTTAATCGCGCGAGCCTCCATCCAGTCGGATCTTTCCGGCTCATTAATCTCTCTTAGGCTATCTGCGCGGCGGCTTCGGGGGGCGCATAAATCTCTCTAAATAGATATAGATATTATTTATCCGTCCCTGCGCGACGCGCTCCTCCAACCAACCGCGCCGAATCACGGAACTTTCATGATCGCACATGACCCTAGACGAATGCTCAATATATACGCCCGCCTATGACCAAAATTGATCAAACGAATAAATTCTGAAAGAATTTTGAATTCCGCCCCAAATCTCCCTCTAGCCGCCGCGCAGATAACCGAAAAAAGAGAAATAATTCGAACTCTCGAGAGATTTCAGATCGTGCGATCTCCGAATCCAGGTCAATCTCTCCTCCTCATATATCTATCTAGATTATCTACGCAGCATTTCAATCGAGCGCATCAATTCCCGTAGACAGATATGAAAAATCTGAAAAATATCAAAAAACTTTAAATTATTGTCCCGGGTCTATGAATTCTGCCGAATAATCGTAGAGATAATCAAAGAAATATAGAATCATATAAGAAAACAATCCAGAAATAAGTGTCTCCGAAATTTTACAGCTTCCAGGGAGTCCGTAGAGAGATATTTTTAATATGAAATAGAAATTCTAAGTTGCTCACGATCGAAATAATCATAAAAAGCTGTATCATAATATTGAAATTCGAATTTCATTGTAATAATTTCAATATATCAATTATATCTAGGAATATTGAATTCATATCATTTTAGTATATCCATTCCGCCTAAGATTTCCTATTTTCATAATCTTCATTTCATTAAAATATTTCTATCTATAGATTCTGACCCTATCTATAATATTTCGGAGAATTTAAAAAATAGATAGGTCATCTGTCAGATATAGTCGCAGGAAAACGTTGAATAATGTCTCGCGCCTCTACGATTTAGGGTCTAGGGCTTCATGATTGGAGGTTCAGGGCTTGGATTTATTAGTATTTATAGCTTTGCAGCAAAATCTGTACGCCCCAATTGGAAGCCTTCCAGAATCGATATGACAACCAGCTCTAAGCCTGTGCTGTTTTTGTTTTATCCGGCCGGCATGTCGAAGAGCAGCTCGTCCACTAACGTCTCGAGGACATCCCGTCCTGAACGAGGGGAGACAAAGCCCAAACTGCAATATATGTATATATAACCACAATATAACCCCGATATACTATAGTAGTTCTTTTCCATTATCCCAATATATCCCTAAAACCCCAATATACCCGCATCTCTTCCCAAAAGCTGGCTTGGTCTCTGTGGCGAGGCAGCAATGATGACTAAGCAGGAACAAGCTGCTCCTGGTGAATGGCTTTCTGGGGCAAAGGCTGGCAATAAAGTCGAAGCCGCGGCCAATGGTGTAGAAGACGTCGTCAAACTCAACAGGATACCTGAGCATGTACCAGTTACCTGTTGCAGCTTCAGGTCTCTAGGGCCTTCAGCAGCGATTCATATTGGACCTCGCTTAATTTCTGCGATCACCCCCTAACACTTTCAGGATATGAGTCCTCGATTGAAGGGGATGATCTGGACTCTGCTAAGGCCGCAGATCCGAAAAGAAATGAAGAGGACCTTAACATGGGCAATTCTTGCAATTAGTTTCAAAACACATCATAGAGCACCACAATACCAAATCAATGCCTTCTCAGGAGGTTGCACTTTGATGGCACCCAGTAGCATATGGCAGTACAGCTACTGCTACCGTGGCTGCTGCTGCTGTTGCGTTGCAGGTTGTACTAGCTACAGTACTACTCTTGGCACCAGTGTGAGTACTAGTAGTACGAGAAGCTGTCAGGCGCAAAAAACGTGATGCAAAGGACGAAGCAGCATGACCGCAGCAACGAGCAGAATAACAAGAAATCTCGTTTTCCGTTGATTGTGAAAACTCCTCTCCAAAACATGTAAGCTTCCGCGTTTTTTTTGGAGCGCTCATTTTGAGAAACTTAGATGTTTCAATCAAATGATTGTTTTGAATCATATGTACTAGCCATGTTACTATGTGAGCACAGGGGATTCTGAAACAAAGGCGTCATGCTCCTGCAGCTTCGCTCTGAGTGCCGCACTGGCCCCAGCGAAGTCCACATGCAGCTAAAATCTGCTCGGTCTCGCAGGTCACTGTCCGCCCAGGCCCAACCTGCACCAATTTTCGGTGAAATAGTAGCTTCCGAGAATGATGAGCTTGTGACCTGATCCCTATCCCCCACAGGTCGTCCACCAATTTGACCTCACCGAAGCCCTTGGCGCTAATTTTTTTCCCTGCGCAGCTCTGCCACAGCCCAGTCGAGACCCAGATCCATCTGCGTGAATCTGCTGTCCTGAGACAGGTCGAGTTCTAACAACATTGCAAGAGGGAGCAGGAAGAAAGTATGTTTGTGATGGTCTAACAACCCTCAGGATCAAAGGGCTGAAAATAGCAGGTGTAGCCTTAACGGCAACAGCGCCACGAGCAGCAAAGATTGTGGCAAAAGAAGTAGTAGAGCTCACAACGCTCGGAAACGCTGGGAACTTAAGAAGGGAATCGGCATGCTGCAAAAAGCGCAAAGAAGCCAGCCCTTGCAGCCCAGCCAATTATGGCCTGATCCAATTCCTTGGAGTGCTTTCGCTCTTCGCGCTCGCCACTCTCTTCGAAGGCGCGGACATAGTGCTGCGCTCGCCTATGGCGGTTCCACACTCATGCCTTACTAGGTCTGAAAGCGCTGCAGCGCGAGGACAAAATGCATTCAAGGCACAGGATGTGTACAGGGATTGCGGGAACCTTGGCTGCACGAGTGCAGAGCCTGAACTGCGCCGTCTGCAAAATGGAGTTCCTCAAACAAAAGTTGAGGTCCTGGCATTTCCCACGTGGGACTTGTTGAAGATGACCCTTAGCTGGCAATAATTTCGTTGGCTTCCTGCTATGACTTCACTGAACCCTTCAAGCAGATTCAACGTCCAATTTGCTCGCCTTGACGAGCAGTGCAGTAAGCAGCCCAACCAAGCCCTACGCTGCCACATGTGAGTTTCCCAAAAATTGAGGTCTCTTTTTGAAAGCCCCCTATAATATCAATACCGTGGATGGTACATCCTGGGTACATGAGGATGACCTCTTGTTTTGTAATACCCACCCATCCATCATGAACGTCCAGGGACGGCATGTTGGGAAGGATCAAGTCAACCGCAGTTGTCCGCATGACGGGCACCTTCGGCATGTCAAAAGCACTCGAAAAAGAAACAAAGCACACAAGCGTGGGTTTCCATAGCTTCCACAGATAATATGTACCAAAGAGCTATAATCCGTATTGTAGGAACCACCGAAAATGGACCCGTACTTTTTGGAAACCACCAAGACGCAACATGAAGTGGCTGAGGTTGCTGCCCAGCTCACATCTCCTAGGCTGCAGCAGAACCCTACTGTGACAGCAGACCAATTCGTCCCATTTGTCAAAAATCCAAATCCAAACCTCAACAATCCTGTACTTGCCTGAATTCAAGGCTCGCATGGGGTTATCCACGGATAGTTGGAGAGGCTCGCATAGGCGGAACTGGCTGAAGACTGGTGGACGCAATCCCGAAGAAGCCTTGCACGACATTTTAGGTTGCTTCTACATTTCACGCTGACAACTCCTAGATAGCCGGACATACACCCAAATTCAGCAACTATGGCAGACTACCTCCGTGGCAGTTGAGACTGGGCGGCCAAAATATGACTCTAGAGAGATGGTAGGATTTCAGAACCCACAAACATGCCCAAAGGAGCCCTATATACACCCACCAAAAAACACAGCACACACCCTATTTCACATGAAGGCAGAGGGGATAAAAGTCTGGAGTTGGAGAGCCTTGAATTATTTCTACTATTATCAGTCCCATTCTTCTTGCTATTCTCATTGCTGTTCCTGTCACTGTTGTTATCCCTGTTTCTATTTCTAATATCCTTGCTAGTATTCATATCATTACTACTGCTGCTATTCCCATTTTCCTTTTATTATGATTGCTAGTATTACTTTACTTGATACTGCTGCTACTACAGTTTTTCCCCACCCCCGCAGTGGGGTTGTTAGATGTTAAAAATCTATGTTGTCCCCGCCCTCCGCGAGGAGCCTGGCTGCAGTGCTCAATGGCAACGGATCCCTGCAGTGCCCAACCGCAAAGTATCCCGGCAGAATATCCCTGCAGTGCCCAACCAACAAGTCTCCCAGCAATGCGCAACTACCAACTACCTCTGCAGTGCGCAGCCGCAGAATACTCCTGCAGTGCAGAGACGCAGAGCATCCTGCAGTGCCCAACCGCAGAGTATCCCTGCAGCGCCCAACAGCAGAGTATCCCTGCAGTGCCCAACCCACAGTATCCCTGCAGTGCCCATGGCAACG